ATCAGTCTGGATCTTTTACTTGATCATTTATCTGTAACTATATGCAGTTAAGTTCAAAACATGAATGCAGAATTCACAATTTGGTTTGTTAATTGAATTTAAAAACATGACCAGGTGAAATTTAACTCGCATATATTTGCACACGATTATAAAAACAAAGCGATTGCCAGCACGAGGCAACAATTGTGTCACATCCTTCCTTTCATAGTTTCAGACTACAGGCACATCACCTCCAGTTAGCAGAAGTTCTCGGCAGGATATCCTGTGTATGTGTGACATCCACTTAATGTTTCATGTGTTCCAGGTTTGCCCAGTAAACTCAGCAGCAGAGAGGAACTCTGCACACTGCTGGCAGTGGCCATCTTCACAAGCACAGCTCAGCATGCTGCAACTAACAACGGACAGGTGCTGAACACACACACCTAAAGACACAAGATGCACTGAGGTGCAGAAACTGACACTGTTGGTTTGTTGGGGCGACTTATTTAAGAAAAGATGACCACGGAGGTACAGCAAACGTTTCTCTACTCTGATTCCTTTTAGTTTGACTGGTGTGCCTGGATTCCCAACACCCCCTGCACCATGAGACAACCGCCACCAACAGACAAAGATGCTGTTACCATGGATATGATTATGGCCACGCTTCCTGATGTCAGCCAGTCCTGTCTACAGATGGCCATCACATGGCATCTGGGACGAGCACAGCCAGATGCAGTGAGTCCAAGTTGCTCACCATACTGTGTCCCATACAGTTTATAACATGTGTATACACATGTAATGCAGCGATAGATCGGTTAAAAATATGACTATTCAAAAGTTCTACACAGAAATAAAAATGTCAGCAATATTTATGTTAAATAACTAATATAAATAGATGCAATAACACTAATGTCACTGTATCTACTGATACGTGTATATCATGGTTACTCAAGCCATCTGTTCTTTGCTAATGGTTTATGTTTATAAACATAATGCAAATATTTGACAATCATATACGTTTTCTTTAACTGCAGCAATTTCAAAGACAACATGTCACCTCAGTTCGTCTTAAATAAAGAAAATGGCATTTCTAGAGCATGGGTTGATTTTTATTTTTACTTATTCTTTGGGGATTTTCTTGCCTTTTATTAAGATGGAGGAGACAGCGAGACATGCAGGGAAGCATTAAGTCTTGCAACACCCCTAAATCATATTTTGTAATGGAAAAATGGACTTGATCCTTTTTTCTCAGCTGCTTGCGGTTCACATCGTTTCTTTTCTGCTCAGATTCCTTTGGGCCGATACACAGAGGACCACTTCACCGAGGCCAAAGCCCTGGAGGTGATCGACAGGTTCAGGATGGAGTTGAAGGAGATCGAGAAACACATTCTGTCTGAGAATGAAGGACTGGAGCTGCAGTACCTTTTTCTCCTGCCCAGTCGCATAGAAAACAGCATCACCATATAGAAACACTCCCAGACCGCTGAGTGAATCTTTGCAGTGCAGGAACTCCAGCGACACGCAAAGAAGAGCAACTTTAT